TGGCCTCCTCCTATTCCTAAAGACGTAGGAGTGTCCTGTGCAAATTAGCACGGTGCGTGTTTTACACACTGACCTCTGTGTGAAGTGGAATCCGGGCACCAGATGGTAGTGTTCAGGCTTTGTGCGTGAGCGACAAGGGGCAGGGCTCGGGGAGCCGCAGTGCCGGGGCAGTGCCGGGGGGTAGGGGGGCACCATGCTGTCAAAAGGATGGACACAATAAATGAGCATGGGACTTGAGAGCGGGAGGTGGCCACTCAGCCATCAAGCCTGCTCTGCTGTTCCGGAAGATCGTGGCTGAGATGGTGGCAGTTTTGATCCCACTTTCCCGTCTGTATGACCCCTCCCCAATCCCACCCCCTCCTCCCCAACAGCCCTCGACTCCCTTGTCACCCAAAACTCATCCTTGAATACATTCAATGACCCAGTCTGCATCGGGAAAGAGAATTCCACAGATTAACGGCTAGATTCCTCATAGACCCAGAGGACCATGTGGTCTCTGTCTGTCTCTCGCGTGCTCGCTCTCTCTCTCTCTCTGTGTGTGTGTGTGTGTGTGTGTGTGTGTGTGTCTCTCTCTCTCTCTTGGTGTGTCTCTTGGTGTCTCCCCCTCTTTCTGTGTGTCACCCCGCCCCCTCTCTGTGCACGCCCCTCCCTCCATTTCTCCTCTCTCTCTCTCTCTCTCTCTCTTTTTCTGTGTGTGTCTCAGATTCTCTTTGAGAGAGAGATGACAGGCGGTGAGTTTAACCTGAGAGTCACCATGTCTAAGGTGAGGGGGAGGTTGAGAAGGAGATTACTTCATGCCAACCTCAGCCAGTATGGGTATTGAACCCACATACTTGGCATTACTCTGGATCATCAAACAGCTGTCTAACGAACTGACCCCAGACTGGCAAATTTTTGAGAGAGAAATGTTCTCCTCATCTATTCAATTAGTGGATATTCTTAAACTGTCCCCTAATTCTGGTTCTTACCCGCTCCCCTCTCCCTACCCCATACACGTGCACAGATGCGCAGATACAGGTCCAAGCGAACATCATTTCAGAATCCCTCCTGTTCAACCCAGGAGCAAGTCAAATGAACCTTCTCCAAACTGTTTCTAACTCCTTGACATCTTTTTCTCAAGGAGGGAGCCCAAGACTGGGCTCGGCAAAGATGCTTCGGTGTGATTTTGGACAGGCTGGCAGAATGGGCAAATGCATGGCAGATGAGGAGAAATGTGGATAAATGTGAGATTATTCACTTTAGCAAGCAAAAGCAGGAAGGCAGGTAATTATCTGAAGGGCAATAAATTGAGAGAGGGGATTGTTCACTGAAACTTATGTCCTTGCACACCAGTCGCTGAAAATAAACATTGCAGGGGCATCAGGCAGTGCAGAAGGTAAATTCTACATCGGTCTTCATAACGAGAGTGTTGCAGGAGCAGGGATGTCTTACTGCAATTGTACAGGGTCTCAGTGAGACCACACCTGGAGTATTGTGTACAGTTTCGGTCTCCTTATCTGAGGAAGGATGTTCTGGCGATAGGGGGAGTGCAGTGAAGGTTTCCCAGACTGGGTTCTGGGATGGCAGGACCGATTATGGTGAAAGATTGGATCGGTTAGGACTGTATTCGCTGGAGTTGAGGAGAATGGAGGGGAGATCACAGAGAAATGTAAAAGAATTCCAACAGAACTAGACAGGACAACTCAGGAAGGATGTTCCTGATGACTGGGGGGAATCCAGAACCGGGGGTCACAGTCTAAGGATACAGGGTGGGACTGAGATGAGGAGAAATGTCTTCACCCAGAGAGTGAGGAGCCTGTGGAATTCTCCGCCACAGAAAGCGGTTGAGACCAAAACTTTGAATGTGCTCCAGAAGGAGTTAGATGTAGTTCTTGGGGTTAAAGGATATGGGGGAAGAACGTGGGAACAGGAAACTGAGCTGGATGATCAGCCATAATCCTGTGGAATGGAGGAAGTAGTCTTGAAGGGCTGAATGGCCTCCAGTTTTCTATGTTTGTATAGTGTTTGAAGGACAAACAAGCTGCTGCCTTTCCTATAACATAGTGGAGCCTACATCTTCAGGAATCACTTACGGACTGTGAAGCACATTGGAATATCCTGGAGTTGTTACCGAATATAGAAGTTTGAGTTTCGTGTTTTCCTATTTCCTCTGGGTCTTGTTTCTCCGCCCACAGGTTTTATTTCAACAACGGTTTACACGACTTCTCTGTGCAAGCTCAGCGGGGCTTGGCAGTGCCCAGCCCTTTATGCCACATCCCTGCTGGGTTCAAAGGACCACCTCATCGACTATAACTCGAGCCGAGCACAAACTAGACCAGGCAGCCTGTCTCTTTGGGCGGATATGCTTCCCCTGTCCACGCGGGTTCAAGGGTGTGTGAACAGTCTGGGTCACCGCTACTGCTCAATGTTGCTTTGATTCTACATCCGTTCCCAGGGAGTGGAGTTGAAAGCAGTCCAAGGTGTAGAGTAAATCTGCAAGCTGAGTGAGAGACCTTCAGGTGATCCCATTGCAGCGTTCGAAACTGTGCAGTCTGATTCCACACACCCCCACCAGGCTGTGCCAGCTTCTTTTCATCCCCTGATAGAGTTCCTGTCTCAATTTCCTCCTTCTGTTCACCACCGACGCTCAGTCGCAGCAGTGTGTACCATCTACAAGATGCCCTGCAGAAATTCACCAAAGATCCTCAGACAGCACCTTCCAAACCCACGACCACTTCCATCCAGAAGGACAAGGGCAGCAGATACATGGGGACACCACCCCCTGCAAGTTCCCCTCGGAGACACTCGGCACCCTGACTCGGAAATATATCGCCCTGTTGCTTCAGTGTCGCTGGGTCTAGATGTGAAAGCTGCCCCACGATTGACCCAGCCTGCTTGGGACGTGTTGTTCTCAGTCACCATCCCACCACCACCACCACCTCCTCCCAAGAAGGTGTGCGGATTCCTGGCCAGTTATGGGATCTGATTTGAGGCCAACACTGTCTCTGTCTGCCTGTCTCGCTCGCTCTGGCTCTCTCTCTGTCTTGCTCACTTGCTCTTTCTCTGTCTGTCTCTCTCTTGTTGGTACACATTAGTCCCTCTCACTTTCCTGTGTTTTAGTGCTGTGTCTCGCTCTGTGTCTCTTTTGACCATCTACAGTTCCGACCAGGTGGTCGGTCACCTGTCCTGGAACAATAGGAAAGCTACAGAACAGAAAAGAGACCGTTCAGCCCAACATGTCTGTGCTAGCTGAATAAACTAGCCACCCATTTCTCATTCCACTGTCCAGCCCCTGGTCTGTCACCTCGTAGCTTCCACGGTTTGGGGGGCAGATCCAGGGTCTTTGTTTCAATGAGTTGGGGATTTCTGCCTGAGCTCCCAAGCTGGGCAGTGAGACTGAGAAACATGTCACCCCATCTTTGGGGGTGGGGGTGCACAGTGGGTCGTTGTAGATGGAACCTCTTCCTCATGTCCCCTCTAATTCTCCTAACGATCACCTCCAAACCTCTCCCTGAGGAGAAACAGCTCCTCCCTATCCATCCTGTGCATTCCCTCGTTATTCTATACCCGTCCTCAATTGAATGTTTTTGTTGTGATATCCAAGGTGCTCTCTAAATGCAGTTTGTTGCTATATGGCCTGTGTTGACCCAAAATCTTGTGTTCGATATTCCCACTTTTTTCCCTTAATTTATGGGAAGGGAAGGTATCAATTCCGACTCTGTTTTCCTTCT